GTGAGTGCAAAGAGAGAGCTAGCATCCTCTTGTCCAGATGATTTTCAAACAAATACGAATCCTGTTCTCTGCAGTTAACAACTACAATACGTCAGGCACCTGAAATTCCAATCATGTCTGAACCCCTTTCTTACAAAAGCATCTTGCAATGTAATGGCACCTTCACATCATTTGCTTCATATTTCTTTTGTGCTTTTGTAACACCCATGTGAACACAGGCTCACACTCCCAGATTAGGAGCTTTATTAGTACTACCTGCCTATAAATAATCAGTAGTTACCTCATTAACTAATAGCCTGGTGCTCAATCATTGGGTTTCCCTCCCTTTAGTGACTGCTGTCCTCCCCAGGTCAGCGTGAGTCGTCATTACAGTTTCAGATTGAATGGGTGTCATTTTTTGTGACTGACATCTCCTTTACATCAGGTCATCCACATCTTTGATCTTTGAGGATGAGTTTGTACTCTACTTGGAAAATGCAGAGGACGAGAATAGCAGTGTGTTTCTCCCTCTGTCTCAGATCCTCCAAAGCCCAGACCAGCCCCTCAGGCTCCAGGAGGCCAGTCCTCTCTGTGGACAGTCTGCATCGTCCTGGGAGCTCTGCTGTTCGTGGCTGCTGCCCTGGGCTGTGGGCAGAGACAGAGGAACAGAGCTCTTCAGAAAGGTGAGCTTGGTCTCCCCACTGTCTCTACCAGTCAGACTGTATTGTGTTCGACAGCACAGCAGTGCTGATCAGGAGCAGGTCAGTGGTGTCTGATCTCACATCCACAGTATTGGTCTGGCTCTGATCTGACAGTGAAGTGAATAATTAATGAATGGTGTCCGTTCAATTTGATATACACTGGCTCAGTTTTTTTTTTCTGTTTCTAAATCTGATTTGTTTCTGGTTATTGGGACTGAGAAACTGCCTTACATTTCTGGCAATAACCAGTCAATGTATGAAGTTGTGGGATGTCCTGACATTAACAGGCCTGTTTTCCATCTCCAATCAGAGATTGCTCGGTGGGAAATGACCTCTTTTCCCTACCAGGATGCTCTGTATGATGAAATTGACTACAGGTTGTACCAGCAGGGACAGTACAGACAGCTCAGAAAAGGTTTGCTGACCATCTGCGTCATCACTGTCTTCTTCCCAAAGCTGGTGTCAGTTGTGCAAACATTATTCCTATTAGAGCAGTAGAAGGGGTCTAGTGAGGAGAGGAGTCTCTCAGCAGCTGGAGTGACTGTCCTGTCTGATCTCTGTGCTGTAGGGAGTGATCTCTCTGGAGGGCTGGACTATGATGATGTGGCAGATGAGGACAGTAAAACTCCAGGTAAGACTGGCTGGGGCCTGAAGTGATTGTGATCATTGTACCACTTCATGATCATTGTAGCACTGTCAGAGATTTTCAGTGCTGGGTTATACACAAATAAAGAGAATTTAGCAGATGAAACTTCAAGGTCAACACAGTATTGCAAAACTATGTATACAACACCTGTGGTTCATTATTACAACTTGGTATGAAACTCTGTATGAGGTTATATATATGGTGGAGACTGTTCACTGCTTGTTACAGTTGCCTGAGTTTCTTCTCTCCAGGGAGTCTGTCTGGGGATGATCTAGTCTATAATGATGTGAAGCAGAATGGAGAGACCTCAGTTCCAGGTAGTCAGAGGTGGTTTTGAACATCTGCAGAGCTGATCATTAGGGAATATATCCTCTAAAGCAGTGGTTCTCTCAGTTATGGAAAAGCAGTTTGGTGTGCTCACTTCCCATCTCTTCACATAACGCTTTAAAAATACATGCGTTCAGAGGGCGTCCTTTGATAATGTTTATCAAAGGCCTCACCCAGAACCATTTTAAGTCCGCCTGGCATCTTCTTCTCAGCCAGTTGTTCACGATGAATGCAACAATTTATTGCTACTGCCAATGGTGAAACTTCTCTGATATGTGCAGTCATTCCTTCCATCCTACCAGCGCCAGTGCCATCAGTTGATCGTGTCCAATCAACTTTATTACTTACAATGATATTGTTTAGCAGCTCAAAAATGGCCTCACCAGTTGTGTTGGTTGACGGACATCAGAAAAAAAGAAATTCATCATGTACTCCTCCTACATACTCGTACCTGACATATGCCAGAAGGTGAGCATCACCCACTATATCGGTAAACTCGTAGTGGTTCCGCAAAGTACTGACTTGGACGCAAGCGTGATGTCAACTGTGAACAATTAGAATTACAGCACTGCTTGTATGGTTCACAAATGACCTCACTCGCATTTTAACTTCTATACTGCATCTTACTCGCAGTTGCGCTGTCACTATCGTCGCTATATTTGCGTTTCAGAGTCCCAGATTTGAGCCAGTGCTCCATAATAACCCTTCTGCTTCGACTGCTTCTTTAAATTACACTTTGAACTTTCAGACTCAAAGTAAGATATCCCAAAATAAGAACAAAACGGTACAAACAACAATAAGTTCAACGGCCAAACCACACTCGCATATCAAAACGTAAACAGCGTAACCACGCAATAGACTGCTCTCTCGTTTTCAATGTGTGACATCGTTTCATTTGTGGAGCATAAAAGTAAAACACTGAAGGGTTAGGCGCTGATGGGGAGAATGAAGAGGCGAGGTGGTCTGCCATAACTCAAGCTTCATTAAAACACAAAGGCAACAGAAGGGTACAGCCAAGGAGAATGAATGGAAACTTTGCCCTTTCAGCAGACCCTCAAGCCAGCCAAGCCTACGACTGGGCTGGTGCTCGCCCCATTACTGACACACACAGTCCCCTTAACGGCTGGTGAAACCCTGATACCTAGAGCCAACACACAAGTGCTTTCTACTATGCAGATCAACAGTCCAACTATTTACAACTTGCAGTTCTTAACCGTGCTCCTAGGGGAAGCCTCTTCATAGTGGATGCTACAATATTCTTTCCTCTGGCCTAAACAACATTGACTTGCTTTAGGAAAGATGACTAGGTCAGCCGGCGGACCACACTTTGAGAACCACTGCTCCAAAGGACTATCAATATATAAAACATAAGTCAATGTAATTTACTAGCTTTATTATGATTCTAGAAGAGGAAAGATATTAAATGAAAAAAATGGGCATGATAGTGTGCATGAGGTAGATTTTGAAAATTGTTCAGGTGTGTATCTTCTTCAAATCTTGATCAATAGAGTGTATTCAGTGTGACACATTAGAAGGAATCATCATCCCCTGTTTACCACTAACACCACCAAATCAGACCTCTAAATTGTTTCTCTCGCCTTGATTATCGCATGAGAATGTCTACCATCAGCACCAGCTGGGTTTCTAATTAAGACCCCAATATTGCATTCTCACACAATTACTCTTTTGTTCGTCCTCGAGCCACACTGTCAATTTCCCAGCTAAGGTGCATTCTTTCTCACCTCTAAATGGCCAGCAGCCATATCACCCTGCAACTCACAACTAGCAACCCACTGAAGCTAAGCAGGTGTGAGCCTGGTCAGTACCTGGATGGGAGACCTCCTGGGAAAAACTATAGTTGCTGCTGGAAGAGGTGTTAGTGGGGCCAGCAGGGGGTGCTCACCTTGCAGTCCATGTGGGTCCTAATGCCCCAGTATAGTGACGGGGTCACTGTACTATAAACAGGCGCCGTCCTTCGGATGAGACATAAAATCGAGGTCCTGAGGTCCTGGCATTTCTTGAAAAGAGTAGGGGTGTAACCCTGGTGTCCTGGCCAAATTTCCCATTGGCTCTTACCAATCATGGCCTCCTAATAATCCCCATCTATGAACTGTAAGCAATTATTATTATTATGAAATGCCTTGGAATGTTTCTATTTTTTTCCTCTAGTCTCCCCCCTTCTCATCTTTGAGAAGAGCCCTACTTTTTCTAATCCTACACACTGCCTCTACCTCTTCTTGAGTTATCGACCCTTTGCTGGTGAATGGCAATCCCAAGACCTACACTGTTACAACAGTGATATAGTCATGATAGTTTCTCGGCCACTGTCCAGCTGACAGTCTCTCTTCTCTCCAGGAGGTCTGACTGAGGGTGATCTGGACTGTGATGATGTCCAAGAGGACAACAGGACCTCAGAACCAGGTAGAACCACAGCTGTTTCTAAGTATCTGCAGAACTGATAAGGAGAATCATTCTACTGTCACCAGAATTGCATAGCTTGAGCTGAAAAATGATTCAGCCTAATACTGCAGTTGTGAACCTGAGTGTTTCTGTCTCTTGCAGGGAAAGTCCTGTCTGGAAGAGTCTCCCCAGAACCTTCACTCCTGGGTGACAATGAATACGATGAGCCCTATGAGCAGAGCAAGTGACCCCCTGAGCCACAGCAACTCTCCAGACACAGCAGACCTGCAGCAGACAGCATGACCAATGGACAGGGCTGAGGAGAGACAGGACAGGACTGTGGAGATATGGATGCCTAGTGGTTACTCAGCTTTTTCAAGAATGTTCAATGGAAATTCATCCTTTCCAGTTTCAATTGTGGCAATAATTTTAGATATCTTTTAAACCAATTTTCAAAGTCTACTTGGAAATCTATAAGATTACAAATAAATGTGAAACAATTATGTACATCAAGTACTAATCACTGTTCTCGCATGCTAAATTCACAGTCCTGTCCTGGACTGATCGGATTTTCTCTTTGTTGTGTTACAATTGTGATTCATTTATTTTTCCATTCCTTTTAAAGAGGAGGTTTATAACTTCCAGTTTGTGTTTTATAGGATGTATTATATTTGAAACATTGAATGTTATGCTTTTGTTGTATGTTACATTATGATATGAATAACGAGAGCCCACAGTGAGCTGTGTTTAAAGACAAGGGGCTGGGCAGCCCCCGAGGGATATTCACTTCAACTCCACTGTCAAGACAGACAAGGTTGCGGGTAAAGCGATACTGTCTGTTAACTGCAACACAGGTTTACTTGGATCCCTACTTCAAATTTAAGTTTAATGCTACATTTCCATGTAGTACCACCAGAGGGCGGCTGTGTGTCTTATAGTGGCTTCATTCACGTCTACGAATCCCAGCAATCAACATTTTCCGAAGGGAGCAAGACCGTTCTTTTGTGTGCGGTGCTTTGTTACCTTATAAACATGGCAACCCAGTAATACGAAGCATACGTCGAAAGCATTGATTATTTTAATGGACGTGTTTTACTAAATCATTGGTGAACCTGCAATTCAATTTTTTAAATATTTTTTTAAAAGATTGTCTATGTTGTTTTTGTTTGGATCCCAATGGCTCCTACTATGAGATAACTTTAAGAACAGCAGCAATGACAGAGACTGTTTAAAAGTGCTGTAACGCTCTTTCGTGAATGATTTGTAAACTACTTTTTAAATTATACTATGTTGTTTTAAAGTTATTATTCTTGTATTGAATAAGTTCACCCCTCGTTTTTTTTATTTAGCGGGTGTGAGCCTGGTCAGTACCTGGATGGGAGACTCCTGGGAAACTAAGGTTGCTGCTGGAAGAGTTAGTGGGGCCAGCAGGGGGCGCCCCGGTATAGTGACGGGGACACTTTACTGTAAAAAGGTGCCGTCCTTCGGATAAAAAAATCCCAGGGTGTTTCTCGAAAAGAGTAGGGTGTAACCCCAGCGTCCTGGCCAAATTTCCCATTGGCCCTTACCAATCATGGCCTCCTAATAATCCCCATCTCTGAACTGGCTTCATCACTCTATTCTCCTTCCCACTGATAGCTGATGTGTGGTGAGCGTTCCGGCGCACTATGGCTGCTGTCGCATCATCCAGGTGGATGCTGCACACTGGTGGTGGTGGAGAGGATCCCCATTACCTGTAAAGCGCTTTGAGTGGAGTGTCCAGAAAAGCGCTATGTAAGTGTAAGCAATTCTTATTATTATTAGCAACTGATTAAAGCCTACGCTGAAAACTGAGGTCTCGTCCTAGGAACTAGCACGGTTAGATTTAAGTACAGGCAGTAGAAACATCTCTGATATCTCTGGGTTCAATTGCTGCTTTGGGCGCTGAAGTTGTCTCCTGTGTATATTGTGTACACGAAGCAACAATGTCACCCACAATCTGTGATGAGAGATCCAGCCTGTGTCAATTCAGGGAGATAGAAACGAGATATGAAGCGCAACTTAATAAGGAGTGCAAAATGACATTGAAGGAGAGGAAATTTGCTCTCCAGTTAAAAATATAGCTTATTTTTGTAATGCCTTATGAAGCTATAGTTACGTTTCCTGATGACATGTGGCACTGGTGGATTTTCTAAAGAGCAAGTCACTCTTGAAATGTCTTGTGAAACATCCTGTGCGAGCGTGCAGTGAGGGCTCCAAAATGAAACCGAGTTTGCAAATAAAAGGCGTGTCTCGCCTACACCGCGGTCGCTGTTGAAGATTGGGCTGAAACGAAGCTTTAGCCCTTTTTTTCTGTCATTTGGTTTGTAGGTGCGAGTCGTGCGTTACATGATTTGTGCTGCGCCCTGACCTTTGGTCGCACTGCAGTTCTGCCAGTCAAGCGACTGAATGACGACGACGTCTGCAGCAGCAACTTCGGACGATTAAATTTAAGAAAATTTAGGACAGCGCTCCTCTTTCCTGGTCCGGGGAGAATTACAGCCCACGATAAAACTCTAGAAATCTCTGTACGTTTACAGTGTAAAGTTTAAACTCCTCAAAGACTAAAGACCATGTGACAACCGTTAGTTAAGAACAATTAAGTCAAGAAGAAGCTCAGACAGATTCAAAAACAGAAGGCCCTGTGACTCTGTAGTACTTTATCCATTCAGTCTCTAATGCTTTATCCAATTCAGGGTCACAGGATCACTTCACATAGATAGCACCCCAGGTCTGGAAATTGAACCCAGGTCTCCAGCGCTGCCAGGCAGTTATAATAACCACTGAACCACAGCCCTGCTGATCAAAAGCGCTGTTTCTTTTCATCGCAGACACGGATATTTGAAGAACCCCTCTCAGTTGTATTTATTGATCTGTTGAATGAATTATTAGCGTGTTAGTTATCTTCCAGGCACACGTGTTAAACTGGGGAATTGGGGGTGGGGGTATTTTGGGGGATGGGGCTATTTAGAAAACGTCACTGTGTTTAATAATAATAATAACTGCTTACATTTATATAGCGGTTTTTCTGGACACTCCACTCAAAGCGCTTTACAGGCAATGGGGACTCCCCTCCACCACCACCAGTGTGCAGCATCCACCTGGATGATGCGACGGCAGCCATAGTGCGCCAGAACGCTCACCACACATCAGCGATCAGTGGGGAGGAGAGCAGAGTAATTAAGCCAATTTATAGAGGGGGATTGTTAGGAGGCCATGATTGATAAAGGCCGATGGGAAATTTGGCCAGGACGCCGGGGTACACCCCTACTCTTTTCGAGAAACACCCTGGGATTTTTAATGACCACAGAGAGTCAGGACCTCGGTTTTACGTCTCATCCGAAGGATGTTTAGTTCCATATTAATCTTAGGTTTATTCATATGAATCTTAGGTTTACCCTGTAGCATTAATTTCTGGAAAGCACTCTGTAGTAATTGGTTGCGAAGGGTGGTATAACGGATATTTTTATCTTGTCGCCTTCTGGTGGTGCCTTCCGTGGATTTTTCTCTTTTTTTGCCGCATCACCTGCGTTTTTTGTACAGAATTTGGGGGCGCCACTTGGCTTCTGATTCGGTTAATGGGGGGGGCACCCTTTCCATAATCACACAGATCCTGTCTCACATCTGGGTTGGAGGGGATGTCCTGAAGTCATGCACAGAGCACGCTAAAATTCGCGTTAATCTTATTTTAAAACTCTGGCCGGAAAACCTCGTGAGTCACCGGTGACTTTTTTTCGTGCTTGGATGATAAACACACTCGAGTTGCCCCGGCAACGCTGGCGAACAGCAGCGCCAAATAGCAGAATCGGCCGTGGAGCTGGGGGAACGAAACCAAACTTAGGCCCAGCTTTTTCGAGATATTTTTAAATCTTTTCGGGCGACTCCCTTTATAAAAAGTCTTGCGGCGCGGCACTGCAAAAGCCCAGTAAATAAATAAACCAGCGCCTGCTTGTTGTTAACTTTGCCAAAGCGCTGGTCGTGAAAAAGACATTTCGTTGAAACTCTTGAAAACTACAAATGTACGGGGGGTGACAGCCTCTAGGGTCTTTACTTTTTTTTCGACAGCAAAGACAAAAAGGTTTTCCGTTTTCAAAACCAAACCGCGCTCCGCAGAGGAAAGCCTGGTGAAAAGCAGGCGACCGTCTCTGCGTGTAGTGTACGCGCCCACACTGACTCCACTAGGGGCAGATCTTTAGGGGCTTTACCTTCTGGGTCGAACCGCACGCTTGTGCAACGTTGCAAGGGTTGACTATGAAGAAAATAAATCGCAAATGGTCTTTAAATAAAGGTTGGCACAGACGAGAAGCTACTACAGACCGAGGAATAAAAGCTCGGGCTTACTTTACTATTAGAAAAGGCACGACCCCGCCCTTCTATGGTCGAGTGTAGCATTACTTGGCCAGGCGTAGGATTTCCCTGATAGGGGGTGAGGAGGTATTCTGTAATACACACATTCCTAGCGATTTGGGAATCGCTCTTTTGCTGGACGGTACCTCCCTCGCCAACACATCCCCGTCCAAAAAAAGATAAACATTAAAAATACTTGTATATAAGCCTGCGTTATACAGTATATAACGAGCGGCCTTCAGATGCAACTAATGAAAACTTGCAACCACCATTTGTTGCGCTTTATGCCTGCCGTCACATGTTAACGACGTGCCTTGCTGTGATAAAATCGGGTTTAAATATTTATAAGTCCCGCATGTTATGTGTTCAGGGGGAAGGGAGATGTTCAAGGAGAACAGAGCAAAAAGGATTCAAACCAAGCCTGATACGAAAATAAAATGTTTTGTTCGCAGGAAACGGTGAAGGAGTCTCGCAACGCCGTCGCAGGAATGGATCTCCACAGTAATCAAAGGGGGTTGGAAACAAAGCCCAGGAGTGGTGCAAGAAGAATAAATAAAACTCGAAGCTTATTCCTAATTTGTCTCAATGGGCGGGGTCCCCGCTGAGCGGTTTTCGAGGAGGTTAGCTCAATGGGCGGGGTCCTCTCTCAGCGGTGTCGGTAGTAGAAAGGCTTATAGACAGGAGACGCAGTGGCATTCGCCCTGTGCAAGCTGAGAGAGACAGGAGAGGGGATATAGACGAGCTCGGGCACAGACAAGGGACCAAGGTAAGGTGAAAGGACTTTTACAGACATTTTCGAGCCGCGCCGCCTAGGCCAGCCATCCTGCAAAAGTGCTGCCGAGCTCCGCTACAGTAACCGGTCAGTCCCGGCGTTATTGTAAGGTGATGTCATTTTTGGCAGAAATATGTGTCTGGGTGAAGCGATATAAAATAACGCGCCTTATTTAAGGGGGTTGGGGTGTATAATAAAGTTACCAGCTCAAAAAACTCCGTGCCCAGTCCGAGAGCTGACGTTTTTAGCGATGCTACCCGCTTCTCTCAGCTTTGAGG